AATGTTGAAAATTTGACAAAATTCACAAAATTTGAACTAGCCTCTCAAATTTGGAACTCAATTAGAGTTACAATCAAAGTTTAAAACAAAATAAGCGGAACAAGAATTGGAGTTCTGAGCACCAAGATATGGCAGCTCAAAATTGCTGAAAAATGAGACCGTTGGGCCAATTTTCCAGATTTAAATCGCTGACTTTGGGACGTTGGTTGAACATCGAAATGGACTTGAAATGACACCAAATTTGGTGGTATTATCCTACCATATAAGGGCTATTCCGCTATCAAATTTCATAGAAAAATTCATTCAGAAAGTTGGTTAACAAAACTATCAAAGTTTCCAAATCTCCAAGGCAAAGCTGCCTTGCACCTCTAGTTTTCTTTTTCTCAAACCTTTGGCCAATAAAAATGGCTAAAACATGTCTCATTTATGATAACCGGGTCTAATAAGGATCTAAGATACATTTAGTAGGTGATTTACACCAAGAATTTCGAATAACAAGTCCCAAGTCAAGATTGGTTACGAATCTGTCCAAAATGAGGGTTTTCTCCCACAAAGTCAGTTTCGAAATCTGGTCATAAATCAGTCAATTCAACTCAAAATTGAATGTGATTGGTGGCGTTGAAAACTAGATTCATAAAGCTACAATTTCTTAGAAGAAATCCTTTTTAAAATCTATCCACAATTAGCTCATATTTGATCATCAATTTGTAGCTCATGTCCTGCCCTCCAGTGAACCAGTGAAACAGGATAGTCAATTTTACAAGGTTGGTACGGATTTCTCAGGTGGAATCAAGACATGCATTTTATACCGTTGGAAATCTGGGAATGTCTAGTTTCCACTGCCATAAACGGCACTCAATTTTGACATCAGAGCAAAAAGTTATAGCTATTTGGAAAACACTGCCAGAGCAGTTACGGGAAAAATTCTAGTTTTGCTAGACTTCCGAAATCACAACATTTGGCCAACCAAATCACGAAATTTTTTTATGAAAGTTCATACACAACCTATATTACACATATATATCAGAAACAAGTCATTATAACCACCAAAAATGCACTAAAGGTCACGGGAATGAAAGGGGGAGAAATGGAAAATTTTCCCTCTTCACATCCTTTGAGTTTCCACCAACAATACAACATTATTCCACTAGATTAAGCACTAAACCAACATTAATAACATCATAACTCATCAAATCAGTCTATCCAACCATAGTGGGAGTTCATAGAGCCCACACATCAACTTTCCAACATAAATAAAGCTACCCACATGCATGCATGATCTTATATGTGCAATAGAACTTCCATAAATCAAGATTTTCAAGGTTGATCATCACTTACTTTTGTTGGTAACTTCAAGCAGAAATTTCGGTCCAAAGATGCTCAAGAAAAGCCGTGGAAATGAAGCTCTTTTGGTAGCTTAAGATGATCACCAAGTACTTAGCAAAATATGGTTAAATTTTGGTGTGATTTGGTGGAGATTTGATGAAGAAATGAAGAAGAAATTGGAAGAGCTTTGGGGTTATTTTTCTTCTCCTTTGGTTGGCTGGAATGGAGTGAAGAGAGAGAGAGAGTTTTGATCAAAATGAAGCTTCCAAGAGAAGCTTTAATGTGTCGTCCAAAATTGAGCAAAAGTCAACTCTCCCTCGCGCGCGCATGCTCGCATTTTGTGTTCGATTCCTCTCGAGTTTGTTTCACTAATGCACTAAACCTCTAATGCACTTGTATTCATACTATTATTATTCACTCTTAATGGTCTAGAAATAATGGTTTTAAGCCCCTCAATTAAATCGCGCGTGTGAAAACGCGTACCTTCGGTTTGTGCGCGGTAAAGTGAAATCTCCAATAAATTCTTATAACGATAGTATCACTAACTAATACTTGAATATTTATATATAAAAATACCTATTTTACAACTAATATATAAGTTTCCAATTTTCCAAACTCATAATACTCTCAAATCGGGTATTGTCTCCAAACGCGTAATCGCTATTCTCACTTAACGAGATTCAAAAAATTAAATTTTGAAACGAGTCATTTTAAAAATATCATTAAACTATAGATCCATGTAATTAGGTCTAAAAAAGTTAGAAAATGATATTCGGGGCAAACAGACAATTAAATATTTAAATAAACTCGAAATAAGAATTTAAAATAATAAATTTTTGCGAGTCGTCACATTCTTGCTCAAGGAAGACCTGGTTACTCCCCTATGTACTGCTTTCTTGCACAATTACAATTTATTTGTAAAAGGAATGCAAATTATAATGGGAGTGTTTGGATAGCACAAATATGTCAAATAATATTTCATTTGTATCATAAACACATTTTTCAACTTACCTTTTTATATTTTCAATTAACTTTTTATCTCACATACATCATATCACAAAAAGTGCTACAGTAATTATTTCAAATAATACTCTATCTAAATATTTGTTAGTGTAATGCCACATGCCTGTCACCCAATACCTTTTTGAATTGAAATCACGAATTCAAAATGATTAATCTAAAGTTATTAGTAATCTGATGGGCACCAGACATTGAATACAATTCTTTTTCATTTCTTGAGTTCGACATGGGATATCAATTAGCACACTAATTGAAAGCAAATACTTAAAAACAGTTTGACTAATGGGATGCCTAGCCCTCATTAGAAGGGAGGTGTTAATTTTTTTTAAATGTTTGTTCATTTAGAAAAATGTCTAAATATAGGAGATACAATGCGAAACGGATCTTCTGTCGCACACCCTATCTCACATCCTATCTCACTCCTTCTAATGTTGCCAAGTGTCTCCTGATAAACCAAACCCTTAAACAACCCAACTCGGACCGGATTAAGTTACTTAATCGATTAACCGTACATAATCAATTAAAATAAAAACCCAAAATACAAAACCCAAATTTATCAATGGAAAAAAAACCACGAACCCTAACAAGAAAATTATCCGCGTTTCATCATACCCTCTCTTTGCATAAACAAATTAGATAGGGAAAATCAGTTTTTATTCATTGGGCAATTTTTTGTATTCAAAAGTTCTATTGTTTATCCAGAGGATTTGGCAGAGATACTACCATATCCTCACGAAGAGAGAACTGACACGGGTAATTTGGTTCTTGGCTTGAAACCCAGATTATTTTGGTTTTTGATTTGTAATTTTCTTCCCTTTCTTTCTTTTTTTTGTTTGATGGTTTGCTTCTGTCTACAATCTTTTAGTCGCTTTTTTTCCAACCAATTTTCTATTTATGGTCAATGATGTTGGAGCAACATAATGTAACGTTGTTGTGTTCAATTTATCACGATCAAATTCTGGTGTAGATGTCCTGCAATTTCTACAATACTGATCAAAATTCCTTTTCTGGGCAGGGTCCACTCATGGGGGGCCATTTGTTTTACTGGGCGGCGGGCATGCTTAGCTAGCTGCCATGAATTTATTTATCTTACTTTTGATTTTTTGTTTTTATTTTTCGGAGCCACTATTACATATCAGGAATATTTATGATGCTCAAAGCCATATTTAGCCAACAATTAGTGCTAGCTAGCAAGACATATTACAACAGCCTATTATTTGCTACGTATAACTACTGCCTATTGCTTATCGCCGACTAAATAAATTATGTGATGAGTAAGTCAAATAATCATTGTGGTATGAGTGAACTTGTATAGGTTTGGAATCTTATAATGAAGCTAGTCAATGGCATCAACTTTCTTTACTTCATTTTATTTTTGGAGTTGATGACTTGCTGGAGTTTTCTTTTATTATCAACGAGGTTTGTTGATGGTGACAGTATGTTCTTTAAAAAAGAGTGGGAGCAATGTGAGAAAAGGGGGTTTACTTTGGAAATCTAAGGTTGTTCTTTTGAAGTTCAGTATGCTGAATGATAATTTTCTCTTAATGTTTGGACTTGGTATTGTTAGGTAAACTGGAGAATTGAAATTTATGGGCACCCATTGAAGATTTATGGTAAAGATTGGTATCCAATTTCTGTGCTTCAAAAAACTTAAAAGGAAAAGGAACTATTTAGATTCCCTGGGTCATTTGGAAATTGATACTTTGCTATGCTTTACTACTTAAAACTACTCCATCTATTATTCTCCAACTCCAACAACCGGTCCTGAAATTCTTAGAATTTTCTTTTCCATTAGAATTGCTTTATCTGTAATCTTGTGGTTGACCACATTGGTTTTGAATTACTAAGGAAATACCTGCCGTTGATGTTGACCAAGATAGTGTTGAAGCCAGGCAAGGTTCAGACTTCTGAGTTCTTTAGGCACCTAGTTTTTCAATCAGTTTCTGGAGAATAGATGCTCAGAAGGTGTACCAAAATAAATTTTTAGCATTCATAACACTGAAGTAATGGAATTTGATATTCTTGCCTATTCTCTAGCAAAAATCTGGACTTTATTATCTGAGCATCCTAACGTGAAAAATTCTTGAGACCCAAATATTTGCAGTCTGTTATGTGTTAGTAAGGCTTATTCATTAACAAAAGGCTTGTTTTTGGACCATCTCTGGGGATCTTGTGCATATTTGTCGGAGGATCCCTATGGTGCGGATCTCTATCTCTGCTATTGTTTTGTAACTTTATTCATGGAATCATTTTTATCTTTGTTTATAATATTACGCTTCATTGCTAATCACTGGATGAATTGTAATTCAAGGTCGATATTTAGGAATTGTTTCTTTTGACTGTCGGATGAGCTTTTATGCTTAAATTACTAATTTAGTCTGAAATAGAGAATGATGTTTTAGTCAGCACTTATGATATTACACTTTTTTTTAAATGAAAAATGAGTCAGCTTTTTCTTGGGTTGTAGGTAGAATCATATCTGAGCATTGTTGTAGACCCAAAGCGTCCTTTAACATTTCGTCAAGTAAGTTTTCCAATGTTTTAGTTTGACTTTCTTCATATTATGCATCTTGCAGTGACCAACATGCAAATTTCTTTCTGCTTTCATCTCCTGAGGTCTATGACACAGGTCATTTGTTGGGTTTTGAGGAAATATGGAGAATGATTTGCCAATTCATGAAATCCAATCATGTTGTAAATTGGACTTTGAAGATGTTGACTTGGAGGAGATAAATGATAATGCCTTACCTCTTTGTATTACTGATGGCAGTCAAGGAAATCAAAATTTTCTTCCTTTGGCTATACCAGATGAATTGATCCTGAAATTTGGCATGGAATTCGATATTGAAGTAGCAACTAGATATTTTTACCAAAAATATGCCAAAGCATCTGGTTTTGGAACTCGATTGAGTAAGGGACATAAAGACAAAAATAGTGATATGATGTTAGATAAAGTGTTTTGCTGCTCCCGTGAAGGAAAAAGGCCAAAAGACAAACGCAATATGAGTGTTAAGTGTCCTCATCCAGAAACAAGATGTGATTGTAGTGCAAGGATGAAAATCAATTGTAGACAAGCTGGAAAATACCGTGTTGTGCAATTTATTGCTGAACATAATCATGAGCTATCAACCCCAAGCAAAACTCATTTATTCAAATCTCATAAACACATGACAATAGCACACAAAGCTGAAATAGAGATGGCCCGAATTTGTGGAATTGCACCAAAACAATCAATTGAATTGATGTCGAAACAAGTTGGTGGACGAGAAAATCTTGGATTCATTCGAGATGATTTAAAAAACTACTTACGATGCAAAAGATCCATACCAATGATGCAAGGTGACACGGGAGGAGTCTTAGAGTACTTACAAAGGATGCAATTAGAGGATCCAAATTTTTATTCTGCCATTCAAGTAGATGAAGATGACTTGATAACTAACATATTTTGGGCCGATGCAAAGATGAGAACGGATTTTGCTCATTTTGGTGATGTGGTTTGTTTTGATACAACTTATAGAAAGCACAAAGATGGGAAGCCAATTGCATTATTCGTTGGTGTAAATCATCATAAACAAAGTACAATTTTTGGAGCTGTTTTATTATATGATGAGACAATTGGAACATTTGAATGGCTGTTTGACACATTTGCTAAGGCTATGATAGGAAAAATACCAAGAACTATTCTTACAGACCAAGACCGAAGAATGGCAACGGTTTTGGCTTCTCAATGGCCAACAACGTATCACCGCTTATGTATATGGTATATCTATCAAAATGCAGCAACACATCTAGCCGATGTCTTTAAAGATTTCCAAAATTTTGCTGCAGATTTTAGTCACTGCATATATGACTATGAAAATGAGAATGATTTTTTTGCGGGATGGAGTGAAATGTTAAAAATGTATGGTCTGGAAGACAACAAGTGGTTGAAGAAAATGTTGATCTCTCAATTTGTTGAAGGGATTTTTATCAATTTCTTTTTTTCGGTCCAAGGATTTGTATTACCTTACCGCTTTCTTGAAGTTGAATGATGCGCCAATGAGATTATAACCATATCCGTACGAATGACCACACCTCTACTTCCAGACTGTGGGATTGTGTTCATGGATTAGTTAGGCCTTTCAGTGGAATAATACTTTGTGCTTATACTTCAATTGGTTTTGATATTTTTTGTTTAAATTTCTATTAAGTGTTGGAAACTTCAATTCCATCTTGTTTTGTTTTTTCTTATGTGCAAAAAAGTTGTAAGTTGCCATGTGTTTTAAGTTTCAACATTTAAATCACTCTGATGAAAATACACCTATTTTTGTATTGCCTACCATCCATCCAAATTCTAGTGACATTTTTTGTCCATAAAGCTTATTGATTAAGCACTACAAAATAGAAAAGAATAAACGTTCTTTTGAGTAAACTGTAGAAGATGAGATATATTAGTTGATGCAACAAGTCAAGAGATTGCCAAAGAAATTATACAACTTTTTTTCATGAGATTTCCCTTATCTCACAACTATTGGTTCAAAAATTCTCTATTTTCATAACACCTCACAATTTGGAGCTGCTTAGTTGTTGCATTCCCTGAAGAACTGAGCTTTATCTCCTCTGGCGGCGTAGGCAAAGTAGCTATATATAGTTCCATGCCTTCGCTTCCACTATTGATTGACTTGCTTTAGCAGGCGACTCAGGCACGGGACTTGTTTGATCTGGCTTCCTTACCATCGTGAACTTGAACTCCAACTTTTCAGATTCATCTCTTACCCTAGAGTAACCGACTGGCACATTTAATGTGGTTTACAGCCCTGTCGAAGACTCCAATTTCCTTTGTGCTAAAAACCAAAATTTTGCCACCTACATTTTGTAAACCATATTTATGGAATCATTGTATCAGAAAATATAAGTGCATTTCCTCTTCAAGCATTAACATAAAGCATTCAAATACTTTGAGAATGTATTTCCAAATTCCTCCATGTAAATGAACTCAACATCCTCTCCCAGAACCTGCAAATCCAAAACAAGGATTTCAAGTACTTGAATACTTATAGCCAGTCCAAATATGAGGAGTCCTTTCGAGCAATAAAAAATAAACTCATTTCTTTTAGTCCTAAGCAGAAAAGTTCAGGCATGTGTTCCTAAAGTATTGATGAGTATATGCTTCTTTGCCGTCTTGTAGAACTCATCATAATCACTCATTGAAATAATATTTTTTACCAACAGTGAGAATAGTGAGTGCCTTTGATAGTTTCCTTGTTGAGATGGATGAGTATCTAGTCACCATAGCCTAAACCAAACAACCAAATTTGAGACATTTATGCAACAATGTATGTTCTCATAATGCTAAAATGGACAAAAAGACTACACCAATATTAACAAGCCTGCTCTGTGGTTCATGTGATTTTCGACATGCCAGTTTAAGATGCACATCCGCATAAGAACATAACACATGAGAAGGTTACTATACGGTGATTGTGATAATGGAACATTTAGAATGCATTTTGAAAATTATTCTGTGGACTTATTGTGTGAAATAGGACTTCCTCAAAACTATGCTATATTCTTTCCTAAGGTATTGGCATGGACTGAGATTTCCCTTACCGATTCCTCCCATCCCAGTGATGCAAATCACTTCCAATTGCTTTCTTCCCACCAATAAGCTTGTGTAGCAGTTCTCTTGCCTCCTCATGAAATCCAACCACTATCTTTTCCTTTATAAAAGAACTGGGATTTTGTCTCAATGAAAGTTTAATAGAAGGCTTTCTAGCTTTATCAGGTGCATCATTGCCGTTGAAAGTAACCAATACCTCTTGCTCCTCAGACATGCTCTTATTCAACAAATGACCAATCGCCCGAATTCAAAGCCAAACTGAAAGCCACGAGGAGGCATTTGATCAAACAGGTGGCGAGCTTCGTCCAATTGCCCATTGAGAGCACATAATCTGAATTGTGAGTACTTTTTGGGGGAGATTCCAAACTTATACAAGTTCACTCATACGCCAATGATTATTTGACTTACTCATCACATAATTTATATAGAAGGCATAGCCAAGAACCAAATTACCAAGAGATAAATAAATTCATGGCAGCTAGCTAAGTATGCTAGCTGCCCAGTAAAACAAATGGCCCCCCATGAGTGGACCCTGCCCAGAAAAGGAATTTTGATCTGTACTGTGAAAATTGCAGGACATCTACACCAGAATTTGATCGTAACAAATTGAATGCAGCAACGTTACATTATGTTGCTCCGACATCATTGACCATAAATAGAAAATTGGTTGGAAAAAAAAGCGACTAGAAGATTGCAGACAGAAGCAAACCATCAAACAAAAAGAAGAAAGAAAGGGAAGAAAATTACAAACCAAAAACCAAAATAATCTGGGTTTCAAGCCAAGAACCAAATTGCCCATGTCAGTTCTCTCTTCGTGAGGATGTGATAGTGTCTCTGCCAAATCCTCTGGATAAACAATAGAACTTTTGAATACAAAAAATTGTCAAATGAATAAAAACTGATTTTCCCTATCTAATTTGTTTATGCAAAGAGAGGGTATGATGAAATGCGGATAATTTTCTTGTTAGGGTTCATGATTTTTTTTCCATTGATAAATTTGGGTTTTGTATTTTGAATTTTTATTTTAATTGATTCTGTCCGGTTAATCGATTAAGTAACTTAATCCGGTCCGAGTTGGGTTGTTTGAGGGTTTGGTTTATCAGGAGACACTTGACAACATTAGGAGTGGGATAGGATGTGAGACAGGGTGTGAGACAGAATATCCGTTCCGATAAGCGCTAAGTGAAATTTAGGTGTGTTATGTGAGCACCTATTAAAAAAAATTCATCAAAAAATCAAAAGAAAAAGATCCTTTACAATAACAAATCAAAACCAATCTAATAAACAAAGTTAATAATTTGAACTGTAAGCATGCTATTCATTGCTAGTTTATAGCTATTTTCTTCACATGAATTCCTGGTTTTGATAATACGAATTCCATTACTAGTACATAGTAGATCGCCTTAAAGATAGAAGCAGATAGGACTATGAAGTTTGTGTTTCCCTCAATGAAGACGTGAAACAATTCATGAATAATAAAAAAAAAGGTATAAAGTACATATTCACTCGATAAGACACTGAATAACTGGAATTCTTAGAATTACTCTTCACTTATGAATGGCAGCTGGTTCCAATAAGCACTGATCATTGCTGCAAAAATCTGGTAGAGATGTCCTGATTAGGACCTAACTTCTTCTTCCATAGACATACATGGAATGCAGGGCGAATTCTAGCTCTAATGGGTAATTTGAATTTATAGGCTATTGCATTGATCTTTTCCAGAATCTTAAAAGGTCTATAGAACTTTGAAGTCAACTTCAGATTCCTTCTCAAAGCAAAAAATTGCTGTTTGTATGGTTGTAGTTTCAGGAACACCCAATCTCTAACTCAAATTGTCTCTCAGTTCTGTGTATATCAAGAAACACTTTTACTCTGTTTTGAGCTTTGCTTAGATCCCCATTTATAGTCTACAACAAGTATATTCCATCTTGTGTCACAGTACTTGCAGCAAGAATAACAAGGTCGCTGTAGAGTCCCATAGGCAAAGGTAATGGTTTATATCCATCAAATGCCTCCAAAGGAGAGAGTTTTAAACCAGTGTGAAAGGACTTATTACACCATCATTCAGCTAGACTAATCCATATGTTCCACAGTGATGGTGATTCACTAGTCCTACACCTGAGAAATGATTCTATGCATTGTTTCAACCTTTCACTTTGCCCGTCCGTTTGCCGGTGATATGCTGAACTGTAATGCAACTCAGCTCCTATTAACATGAACAATTTTTGCCCAAAATTGCCAGTAAAAATCTTGTCCCTATCAGTGATGATGGATTCAAGTAATCTATGAAGTTTGTAAATATTATCTAAGAATAGTTGAGCTACTTGCAATGCCGTAAAATGATGAGTTAAAAGAAAAAGTGATCAAACGTGGTCAATCTATCCACTATAACCAACACTACTTCAAATTTCCAGATAATGGTAATTTCTTCCCAAAATCCATTGTGATGTGGTCCATGCTTGTCTTGTAACTGGTAGTGGTTGTAATAAACCGAGACAAGGCAAGTGCTTCACTTTATTTTTTTGGCATGCATCACAGTACTAAATATAATGAATAATATCTTGTTTCATTCCAGGCTAGTAAAACATGCTCTTGATCCTCTGAGTGCAGGCTTTTTGAATAGAATGACCCTCTATAACTGACTCATGTAAGGTTTTAACAAGCTTTTGGCTGATGTCATTGCCACCTCCCACGTATAAACTGTTTTCTATTAGCCAAGAAATAATTGTTGCACTTAGCCATTCTCTCTGTAGAGCATCGAAGCTCAATCTTAGGTAAACTATAAAATGAAGTCTCACCCAAGAATTCGTTTGCTTTCTGCTTCAAATCCCATAATCAGCCCCTGATGATTAGGTGGATTAGGTTGCAACAGAGAACGGCCATTTCTAGTTCTATCTGTTGGGGATAATAAAAGAAAAATTGGCTAAAAGTTACGAAGCAAATGATGCAAAAAGGCTTCAAATCGTGACTCAAGATCACTTTTCTTTATGCTTTATTTGTCCAAATTTAGTGTGCAAAAATCTTGGGACAAGTATCCTTTAAGAAAATTTAAAGGGTGTTTGTCTTTAATTCTTGTACGAGATGGACAAACTTACTTGAACTATGGGGTGATTTTGTGAAAAATTCTAATGGTAGGAAATATAATCTTCTATAGAAAAATTCTAGATCTTTATAGAGTTAGGATTGAGAATGATCAAGAGTTGCAACCTTTCTCTACTAATTTGTTACTTTCCTTGAATTGTGTTTGACAAAAGGTTCCTCAATATCAATGCAAATGTTCAGAGAGTTTTTGGATGTTTAGACACAATATGATGGTAATTAATCGTGAAAAACATGAAGAGATACCAAACAATAAACTTAAAGAACTTATGACAACCATGGTTCGAAGACTCGGCTGAGACCTAGACGACTTGGCCGAGTCGTCTCCGTCTC